TGGTTGCTGCAGCTGAGGAGGCTCCTGTGTACCCATCCCTGGAAGTGTTCAAGGCCATGTTGGAGCAACCTGGTCTATTGAAAGGTGTCCCTGGATGTGGCAGAGAGTTGGGACAAAATGAGTTTTGGGTCCCTTCTAACCCAAACTATTTTGTGATTTTATGAGTACATACCTCATGGTTGGTGTACCCAACCTTCTGCTTTGTACTGCTCCAGTGCTGGTTTTCCAGACTAAAAACACCTCTTACTTTGACTGCTGTAAGGAAGAACACTTGCTCAGCAGGTTGTTTAGGATTCAGGGGAAGAAAGTTCAGGCAGAGCTCAATTAGTCTGCTTTAATTTACATGCCAAGTTTTGTGTCTGCATGATTTGCTTCACTTGTCTGTGCACATTTAAAAGCACAGAGCAGTACTGGGGGTGGTTAGTTTTACTGCACGTACTTACTGTAGAAAAGCAGTTGTTATTCACATGTTTACTGCCCTCCTCATAATGAAACTGCTGGGTATTCTGGCAGATTAAAAAAAAATGTAGTGCTGTGCTGAAATGAGCAGGATACGTGGGAGGATTAAGCTCTGTGGTGCAGATCGTGTATCTCCTCGTCACCTCTGACTACTCCTGCTCATTTGTGCTGTCTCCCTGTGTAGTGGTTAATTCTGGGAGTTCTTCTCATAAGGGATCCATGTCTGGGTGCAAACTGGACAAGAAGTTGCTAAATTTCTTTGTGATGCACCTGAGTTTTTTCTTACTCAGAAGTTGTGGCCATACTTGGCTTTAGTTGGAAGCAAATATTTTCTGTACAAGAAATCCCTGTATTTCCTATGGCCCAGAATCACAGAATCATTAAGGTTGGAAAAGACATTGAGTCCAAGCTAGGAAAAAGTCCATCTCAAAAAAACCCCTCCTTGTCCATATACTGTCCATTCTGACAGCAAAGTACCACATGCATCTGGAGAAAACCTGCAAAACAAAATTATGAAGTTAAAAATTAGGAAAATCAGGTTTTGGGAACAGAGCAAGGACCCAGATAAATACTTTTCCCTGTGTCCTGAACTTGCTGTATTTCCTATTCCTGCTTATTAAGCAGGCAGCCGACAGCTGCTGGCAAAGCTAGGGAATAGCAGAGAAGTGTAGCGTGTCCAAAAGCTCTCCAGGCCTCTTTTGGGCAGCAGCCTGGGAGCAGCTCCTGAGGCAGGTTATCTATAGGCCAGCTTTGGCCAAGGATCTCTGCGTGTCCCAGCCACAAATAGCACAGCAAGCTGCTCCTTTGGCCTGTGGAAATGCTGGTTTTACTCCAGTGGGAAAGGAGAACACAAGTGTCTGTCGTGCAGGAGGATGGCAGCAGCCAGTCCAGCTCTTGGTGGCAGCTCCTGGAAGAGTTATGTGGATTTTTTAATTACTCCCTCACTGTCTGCTGGTGCCTAATGAGTGCAATCAGCAGCAGCACTAATGAGATGGCTGCCCTGAGACCCACGTGTGGGGTTTTGGGGATTTGGAAGACGTAATATAAAAGTATGTCTCTGATTAGGAGCAGAAGTGCTGAGTTAATAGTCCTTGGCTATTTAATTCACAAGCAATGGTTGTCTGTGGTTCAGATCTTCAGGACTGATTAAGTAGTGATGACCATGCATGAACGATTCTCTGGTAGGAAATTTTACCAACATTTGGAGAGCAGCAAAGCCCCAGACCTTGCCATCCATCCTTCCCTTGGCAATTGCAGTATGATCTATGTCCTGATCCAGTGTGGGCTGCGATTCCTGCAAGGAAGTTAATTTAAATATTTTAATACCGCCTTTTTAATGTTAGGAATAGAAATGTTGTCTTATGGCCAGAAGTCCCTGAAAACTGTTGATGATATTCAGTGGACAACACTGTCATTTGGCCTTTTGACCCGTGTGGCTGATTGTGGGGCTCTTTAATGCAAACTAATGTGCAGAAATGGAGTGCGACAGTCTGGAGAGGAGCTGGAGCTTCCTGCAGGCTCCAATTCCTGCTTCCTGCCACAGGGAATGCACAGCTCTGGTGATTGTATTCACATGATGATCGATTTCCCTGTTTATATTAAAATACATGTTTTCACCATAGAACCACAGAGTGGTTTGGGTTGGGGTGGGGCCTTAAAGTTCATCTTGTTCCACCCACTGCTGTGGGCAGGGGCACCTTCCACTATCCCAGGTTGCTCCAGCCTGGCCTTGGACACTTCCAGGAATGGGGCAGCCACAGCTTCTCTGGGCAACCTGTGCTAGGACCTCATCACCCTCACAGCCAAGAATTTCTTCCCAATATTCCACCTAATCCTGCCCTTTGTCAGTGGGAAGCCATTCCCCCTTGTCCTGTTACTATGTGTTTTACATGTGTTTTACATGTGTTTAATTCAAGGTGTCACCCAAACCCACTATAACATGTCTGCATTTGGAAAATTTTGGAATACTGAACGTACACCAGCTTTGAGTGCAGCACAGGGGATCTGAACATGCTTTCAAAGCAACAAAAGGGAGAAGCTCTGTCTTCCCTCGGAGTGACAAATCCCAAGCCTCGGAGACAGGCAGCCGAGATGTCCATTTCCGTGAGCAAATCTCCTCCTTTAAAGCTGCCTGTGCCATCTGGCGAGGAGCACGTCAGGGATCCGAGTAGGAAACGTTTGGATTTTATTCATCAAATGTGTGTGATGCAACATGGCCTCAGAGTGTGTGACTGGGCATCAAGGCTTTTCCTGGAAATACCTGCCTTGTAAACACAAAGAGTTTTAATTAAGTGTTGCTTGGTGGCATTTGATTCATCCCAAAAGCAAAAAGGCTTTGAGAAAACAATGTTTTGAGTTCTTAGGGTGTAATTTGTGGTGATTATTAATATCCCAAGAAGGGGATGAGCTGCTCTGATCCCCCTCAGATCCACCGCAGGAGGGGTTTCCTCGAAGACCTTCCCAAAAAAGAGCTGTGGGATTGCAGGGAAACCTGATGAAGAGCAATCCAAGCAACCAAAATAATTTTCAGTTTCTCCCAAAAAAACTAAACTATGGAGTTTTCCAAACCAGTTGGTTTTGGAGTCTTCAGTTTATGAGCAACACACATTCAAAAAATGAACAAATGTAATTAAATTACTTTTTAAAGCAATTATTTCAGGCTTCTTGGAGCAGGCAAAGCAAATATTAGAAATATTATCCTTGCTGAGCACAAAGTTAATTTTATAATATGTAGCAAAAGTTTCTGAAAAATTACAGATTTAAAGTGTGAGCATTCAAATTGTGTTTTCACAGACATGTCACATCTGTGCCTGTTTAATATGTTTTAATGTCTTGATATAATCCCCCCTCTGGCTATAACTAGATACTACTATATATAAAATATATAATGATATATGTTTTATATTAATATATAGATATATTAATATATAAATATGTTAATATATATTAATATTTATCACATTAACTTGATAGTGCCTGGTAATTGCATAGATCAGCTGATTAGATGAGTAGAAATGTCCATGGAAGTGTGAAATTCTGTTACGATTTTCATTTAATTACAACTTAGGGATATAAACTGTGAGCATAGGAAATTGTGTTTTGAAGAACATGTCAAATCTGTGCCTGTTTAATATGTTTTAATCTCTTAAGGTAATCCACTCTGGCTATAACTGGATACTAACATATATGAAAATATTATAATGTATTCATATACCAGTGTCTCAGTAGATCGGTCTATTAGTGTGTAATTGTATCACTAGAATAATATTAATATGGAAACATTAATGTATTAATATGCAATATACAGTATAACGATATTAATGTAAAATACTCGTTAAGTATGGTATTATATATAAGGCATATTACCATACATTATACATTATCATGGATATAATTATATATAAAATCATATATATAATATAAATATATCAGTCTATTAGCATTAATATATTAATATATAACATATAGCATATATATGATATATATATCATATATTACCATATATTATCATTTGCAATATATAGTATATTGTTGTATTGATGATAATATATAGTATAATATCATATATAGTATATTTTCATAGATATATAGTATATATAGGATATATAGGACATTATCATATACTATATGTTATCATCAATATAATTATATATAAAATAATTTATCATATAATTATATCAATCTGCTAGTACTAACATATTTATATACAACATACAGCATGAATATATATCATATATTACCATATGTTACCATATGCAATATATATTATCATATCAGTGACAATTGTCGCTATAATCATCTATATAATTATATATAAAATCATATATAATATAATTACCTCAATCTATTAGTATTAATATATTTATATACAACATATAGCATAAATATATATCATATATTACCATATGTTATCATATGCAATATATAGTATATTATTGTATCGATGATAATATACAGTGTATGATAACATACATTTTATATAATATATTACATAATGAATATTTTACATTAATATCGTTATACTGCATATCGCATATTAATATATCAATGTTTCCATATTAATATTATTGTAGTGATACAATTACATGTCAATATACCGATCTATTGAGACACTGGTATATGAATACATAATCATATTTTCATATATATTAGTATATTATTTCGGGTTTATTTGTGAGGGAAACGGGAGGGACCATCCATGCGCGAGGCGCGGGGGTCGACGGGGCAGGCGAGGGGGGACGCGGTGCAGGGCTTCGCCCCGCCCCGCGTCCCCCCCGCCACTGCCCCGTCGACCACTTTCCCCCTCCCTGCCAGTTGTACAGCCCGCGGCGGGAAACCCCGCGCCGGCTCGCACACAAAGCAGGGCGCAGTTTCTCCGGCGCTGCGCGGCGCGGCGCTGTAGCGCCCGCCCCGCCGAGGGCCCGGATGCGGCCGCCGGAAGAGAAGCGCGTCTGCCTAGGGCCCGCCATCTTGTGCGGCAGCTGAGCAGGCGCGGGGGCCCCGGTAGCATCCGCGCAGTCCGAACCGACGGAGGGCCCATCATGCCCGGACACCTGCAGGAGGGCTTCGGGTTGCGTCGTCACCAACCGCTTCGACCAGCTCTTCGATGACGAGTCCGACCCTTTCGAGGTGCTGCGCGCGGCGGAGAGCCGGAGGAAGGAGGCGCGCGGCCGGCGGCGGGAGCCAAGCGGGCGGGGTGGGCCCGCGCCGGCGGGCGCGCAGAGCGGCTCCTCCGGCGGGGCCGGTGGCGCGCGGCCAGGCGGGCGGCGCGCGGGTAGCGCGGCTTAAGCAGCTGCGCAGGGAGTCGCAGAAGGAGCGCAAGAACCCGCTCCGCCCTTCGCCGCGGGACCGCCGGGAGACGGGGGCCAGCCCGGAGCGCCGCTGCGAAGGAGGTGTGAGCGGGGCCGGGGCCGCGGGAAGGGAGAGCGGCCCGGCCCGCCAACAAAGGGCCCGGGCAGGGCCGGGCCGCATGTGGGGCCGCGCATGGCGGAGCGCCCGGAGCCCGCCCGGGCAGAGGGAGCGGAGCGGCGGCCGCGGGCCCGCGGCCACACGTGTCCCGCGCAAAATGGAGTCGGGCGTGCGGGGGGCGCCCGGGGCTGGCCCGGGCCCGGCAGAGGGAGAGAACTGACGTGAAATGGGAAATCCTGGCAGTGTATAGGATCGTGGAGTGGTTCGGGCTGGGAGAGACCTTAAAGCTCGTCTCGTTCCAACCCCCTGCCATGGGCAGGGACACCTTGCATTAGCCCAGGTTGCTCTAAGCCCCGTCTAGCCTGGCCTTGGACACTTCCAGGGATGGGGCAGCCACAGCTTCTCTGGGCAACCTGTGCCAGGGCCTCACCACCCTCACAGGGAATAATTTCTTCCTAGTTTGCAATCTGAACCAGCACATGGAATCCTGGAATCGTTTGGTTTGGAAAGGACCTGAAAGGTTGTCTCGTTCCACCACCCTGCCACGTGCAGGGACACTTTCCACCAGACCAGGTTGCTCCAAATCCCGTCCGACCTGACATCCTGAACTTGAGTCGTGTTTTGGGTGGCCCAACGGATTTGACGGGATATCTGGCAGTCCCTGGGCTTTCCAAAATCCACTCGGGTCGTTTTTCTAGTGAACAGCATCGATAGCAATCATCTGTGTGTCTTCATATATTTAAATAATAGCTCGTATGGGTTCTCAGCTCTGTTTGTGTAAATCCCTAAGACATCCACACGGGAAACCCTGGAAAAAAGAAATCCAAGTATAAATAGGTTAAAGGAATATGGTGTGTACAGAGCAATTAGTAGGACAGGGTCACGCATGGAGAGGGATAGATGTGGACACATGGCGTCCCCAGCCCATGTTGTACCGCGCCCAAACTTCAGCGCTTGTCAGGTGGATCAGGACTAGGATTAAAAGGAATCCTTGAAATGCAGCAAAGTGTGGTGACAGCAGGTGATGTGGGGGTGAGGGGATAACATGTTAACTGCAGTTTAAACGAGCTTTTCAGAAATCTTGATGTTACGTGAAAGCATCTTAATGCTTCAGCATTTGGGTTGCAAAAATGATTCTGCACTGTGTTTTATGCTTTTTGAGAAAGAAATAGTTTTAATATAGTTGTTTTGGAAACTGGGTCTTCTAAATGTTATTTGAAAACGCCTTGTAAAAAGACAAATTTAGGAACTATGTTGCAGTTGTTTTTGCTTATGGATCTCTTGTTCCCTAACACTCGAGAGTGTTTTCAGTGTGAAGGATGCAAGGATTTATCCCGACTCACAATTTGCGAAGCCAGTGTCCTCTGGAAGTGTTGGTCAGGTGTAGATTCTGGTGGTGTCCCCCACGAGGTACACCTGGAACATGGCAGTGCCTTTGGCACCTCAGCAGGACACTGAGGGGTTTGGGCAGGGCTGGCAGGCCGTGTTTACCTTATAGTTTTCACATCTTGTTTTCAAGAACAGTGTGAAAAATAAATATTTTCGTGGCTTATTATAGTAATGAAACAGAGAAAGGAGGCTGCTGTTGAAGCAGTGACCGTGGAGCAGTGTGGTAAACAAAGTCACTTTCCAGTTTGAAAACGTCTATTTTTGTGTGTGACTGTTTTTGCACTTCTGGCATTATAAAGGTGCCTAATGCCAAGGTTTGTTTCCTGTGCGAACGTATTTAAAAGTGTTCCACTACCCCACGAAGCTGCAGGTGATTTGACTGGTGAATTAGCAGTTCAAAGCTTGGTGATACTGAGAAATAACTCGTATTTTGGGTTAGGCTTCAGCAGGAACCGGGTTTTGCTGAGCACAGGGCGTTGAAGTGGAAATTCAAAAGCCGTGGCTGTTCCATTCCAGTTCTGCAGCATACCTCCTCTGTGCCACCGGCCTGCTCCTTTCCCTGCTTCCCCTCCTCACATGGAATGCTTGTCCTCCTTGGAGAGCCCTTTTCCAAGTGCAGGCTGAGGAGATTAACCCCTTGTTTCCTCAGCGAGTGAGGAATGCTTAAGAAACTATGAATGTCATGCAAACTTCATGTTAAGTACAGCCTTTAAGGTGAGGGAGTCATTGTTCATCTGGGCGTGTTGGCTTGGATATCATTACAACTGTAACTTCTGTAGCCCCACCCAAATTTGACATTGCTTGTTAAGCAGGAACTTAGTTATTTAAAAAAAATTCAAAAATCAGCTTTTAATTTAAAAGCTAGTTCATAATTCTTGAGCCAGTGTTTTGGCAAGAAAATGGCATAACAAAGCAGCAATATGTTTGTGCGGATCTTTCTAAAGAAGAGTAAACAAGGCCTTTCACTTGAGTGGAAAAGAAAACTGTGTTAGATCCTTCAGATAGCTTAGTGAAGAAGAGGTTTTTATTTAAAATAAAAACCCTCTCAGAAGGCCTAGGGAGGGAGGAAGGACACTGGGCAGCTCCAGGGCACAGGATTCTTAAGCTATTTTAAGCAGTGAGCAAGGAAGAGAATCTTTGTCAGGGAATGTCTGTTGGACTGGGAGGATCCATGTGGATGGGGGCACCAGTTCAGTACCTGCAGTACTGGGATGCAGATGGCACTTGTCTGGTACAGGTGGACCTGCCTGGATTGTACTGCTGTCCAAAAGAGTTTCCAAGAACAGAATCCCAGGTTTAGGTTGGAAAAGACTTCCAAGATCCATGAGTCCAGCCTTTAGAACAGCACAGGGTCACTGTCCTAGGGAGCACAGAGTTGACTGTCTTAGGACCCAGTGACGTGATACTCACTTTGTTTTGGTGTTCATCAAAATAAAACCCCCCTTTTTTTTACCTGAAAAGGACCTTTCAGAGAAATAAAAATACTAAAAAATCTTGCTTACCTTGATCCTTGTTTGAAAGTTGACTTTGTCATTTCAGCACAGATTACCAGTATTTTCAATCAAACACAATTTGATTGAAATCCTGGGTAAAAATTTGAAGAGTGAGATGCTCTACAGTGACTTTTTTATGAAGGTGGGGTTGCTCAGACTTTGTAGAAGCAGCTTGTTTTTAGGGTGCTGGGGGTCGGTATCTGTCCTGGAGCAGCTCCACATTCCGTTGATGTGTCTGGCCTGATGTTTCAGGGATAAGGAGGATTGGCAGGAGGCCTGATCAGCAGCAGCAGCAGCAGCAGGGGGATGGCAAACCCATCGACCGGAGACCTGAACGACGACCTCCCCGGGAACGCCGCTTCGAGAAACCTGCCGAGGAGAAGGGAGAAGGGGGAGAGTTCTCTGTCGATAAGTGAGTTTCCTCTTGTAGGATAAGGAGCTTTCCTACTTCTGACAGGACAGGGCTGCCCTGCCTTCTGCTGTAAAGTTAAAAAAGCTGATTGAATCATAATTAAGTTGATTAAATTTTTGTCATACAATTCTCTTTCCCTTTCTATGATTTTGTTTGCAGACTTAAGTTTTAGGCTGGGAGTGATCTACATAAATAGCTTCATAGGTGTAACTGAAATTGTGGTTTAAATCAAGATATCCACCATATCTCTCTAAATCTGTAGCAGATAGCTCAGGAAAGGAACTGAAATGTAGCTATTTCCTGCAGGATGAGATTTGTTTGCTGTCACAGCTGTGGCTTTAATCTGTACAGCTGACTCAAAGCCAGCAAAAGTTTGTCCACGTAGGTGTTTACACCTTGGCTGCAGTGGGTTCAGACCTGGGAGAAGTGAAGTCATCTTAGGCCAATGTGAGGTTTAAAGTGGCTCGAGTATTTGAGGGATCCATAATTCAAGTAATGTTCAAATATTAAAATTTTAGCAGCCAGAATTAAAATCCTTTTAAAAATAAATTGGATAAAAGTGAGTTAAGCTGAAATTGTAGTATCAGCCAGTTATGCAGAAGAATACAAACACTAAATTTTGGAACTTAATGCCAGAGAATGCAGACAAACAATAATCCCAAGCATTTGTTTCCGGATTCTAAAATCTCAGAATCACAGAATGGTTTGGGTTGGAACAGACCTTGAAGATGATCCAGTTCCAACGTCCTGCCATGGGCAGGAACACTTTACACTAGACCAGGGTGCTCCAAGCCCCAACCTGGCTTTGAACACTTCCAGGGATGGGGAGTACAAGTGGCTGTTTTGAAACTAAAGCTTTGACCCAGTTACAAAGGAAAAATAAGTAAAATTTGCAAAGAGGACAAGAGCAGTAAAAACCATGCTGTCGATTTTTGGGGGTGAGTCACTCACGTTTGTCTGTCTATGCCAGGCCCATCATTGACCGACCCATGCGTGGACGTGGTGGACTGGGCCGGGGCCGTGGCCGCGGCCGCGGGATGGGCCGAGGAGATGGGTTTGACTCCCGTGGCAAACGGGAATTTGACAGACACAGTGGCAGCGATAGATCGTAAGTCTTTAACTTTTTCTAAACTATTCGGTTTTTCTTTACAATTCTTACGCAATTGAAAATTGCTCTTTGAATCTCTGTGTCTGGACACTATGATGTTAACTCAGTTTTGTTAGTTCTGTTTCACATTCACATTTCAGCGGCCTAAAGCACGAGGACAAGCGCGGTGGCAGCGGCTCACACAACTGGGGAACCGTCAAAGACGAGCTCACGTGAGTACTCTGTCCTTGCTCACTAAAATATTAGCAGGGTGTCAATCAGTCCTAATTAGAGCTTACAGAACGCACAGATTTACCTGCCTTTTGACCTTTGATTTTGATAATTTTACTGCTCTTCTGCAGAATTAAAAAATTAGCAATTTCTTGTAACTTAAGAGATGGCTTCACTGTTAAACTGGAATTTTGGGGAAGTTTAGATTGGGAGGTCTTGTGCTGATCTTTGAACAATTCTTTTACTAGAAACTTGAACAGTTTTTAGATCGGGTTAAACATGCTTTTCCTATTACAAAAATTCAAGTATTACATTGAAAACTATTTTTAATAGTTTTAGTAGTTCACTGACCCAAATCCATTTTGTGTCAGAGGGACAATGGGAGGCTTTCAGGAGGGGTTCAAGGAAGAGTTGGGGAAAACCATTAGTTGGGTGAAAAGCATAGAATTTGAAAGACACAGACAGCACCAGTCCTTAATAAAATAGTAAATCCTCTATAGATCTTGATTGTTAATCTCATGTAGCTTTAAAGAGGGATGAACTTGTAAAAAGCCCAAACTCCACCCGTTATGTAATTGCAGTGAATTGGATCAGTCAGCTGTAACTGAGGAGACGCCGGAGGGAGAGGAGCATCCGCCTGCTGATTCTGAAAATAAGTGAGTACCACCCCTCTTCGTGTCTTTGGTTGCTCCAGAGGTACTAGTGCTTTGCCTTTAACCTCTGACGTTTATTCCCCCATCAGTTTTGCCAAATTCAGATTTGTCAGTAGATGATCCACAATGCTGCTGAACCACTGTCATGTCAAAAACTTCATGTCTGAAAATTGTGGTCTTGAAAATGTTCCTTGGTGTCCTGCAGGCTCTTGGGTCACTTTCAGATTTATTTATTAATAATAATTTCTAATACACTTTACGTCTCAAGATTGCAACTCCTGATTCCAAATCCAAAAGCACCTGTGCTCAGAACTAGGTAGAACCACCAAGCAAAAGGGACAAAATACCAGTGGAAGGCAACTTTTTTAACCTTAGTTTTCCTAAATAGCTTTGAGACTGTGTCACTGGCTGTAGGAGAAAGGTTGTATCTCTAATTCTTCAGCCTCTGTGTGTGCAGGCAGTTTTCAGAGTTGTCTGGATCTCTTTCCATTTCATTTGGACACTGTTACAGAAGGAACCAGTGACTGGGTGAGTGAAAGAGTAACCAGAGAAGCAGAACAAGTGTTACTGAGTTGGTGTGAAAATATGATGAAAATTTTTATGGTAGCACAGTACAATAAAATACTGTATTTTAACGAGGAATGTGCTTTATAGTGGATTCAAAAAAAAATGGCGAATATATAAGACAGAATTTTGATTTCTAATCTGGAGTTTGCTGTACCTTGATTTCCTCACTAATAACTTTGACAAAGAAGGTCCAGTTACTGCCTAGAAAGTAAGAAATGGATTTAGTTTAACTGAAAAAAGACTAAACATTCTTACTTCTCCAGTGTTGTGATCCAAGGTTAAGGACATTTTTAAGGACTTAAAACTTGGGCATTGGTCAGAAAATGCAGGCTAGCTAGTCCTTAAAAAAATTCTATGTATTAGAAATCTGGATATATTAAATTTGCTTTATCTACAGTATTCCCTGGATCTTTAGTAGTAGCAGTGCCTGGTGCTTGACCAGATACTGACCCATCCATGTGCAGATCAGTTACCTGCACAACTCTGCAGCTCTTTGGATGTTTTTTTTCTTCATCAAATCTGCAGAAAATTCTCAGTTTCAAGCATAAAACATCTGTTGTAATCATTAGTTGTCTTTATAGGAAAGCATTTTTACATGGGTTACTTTTCAAATTGGCTGGTTTGGTGTGGATCTCTACCCTAAATGTTTCAGCAGAATTGTAGGATGTTTTTCTGCAGTAAAATGTGCAGGTAATATCTTAGCCTTGAACAAAACAAATTCCTGTGATTACATACAGTGTCAAAAATCACTCTGTCCTACACAATGAGGAAAAAAAATACAGTAATTTTGACATAAAATCTCTACGTTATTACATCAAAATTAATGACTATGAAATAAAGACCTTTGAGGTTGAGGCTTTCATGATCTTTTTGCTGCTCTTGTTTTCTATAAATCAGAAATTTAGTTGCATAAACAGACTGAACAGTGTCCAGAGGCTTGTCCTCCTGTGTAGCTGGAAAATGTCTATTACTGGGCATAGTGGTTGTGTGTTTTACTTAAAAATAGCTCTTTGGCAGAAGGCAGAGGTGATGTATCTCACAAGTAGGTTGTGTGCTGTTGTTTTTTCAAATAAGCTGAAAGTAAAACTTGTTTGAAATAATTGTCTTTAGTTTAATAAAGGAAGCAAGCTCTCCAATTTTTATTAAATTCTATTTTTAAAAAAAAAAAAACCTAAAAAGTGTGAAAACTCTTGGAAGAACAAGTTCTCACTGCCCTAACTTGATTATTAATGAGAGATGTGCCTCAAAAAACGGGTAAAGCTCCAAACATGTCCATTGCAGAAGTTAGTCTTTAATATTTATAAATAAAATTGTCATTAGTGTGGAGAATTGATGGCACAGGTAAGTTTTAATTTTAACATTTTGCTGTGCTCACTGTTTAGATGCTCGAAGGTGACTGGGTGTAATTTTTTTTGATTTTGTACTCTGGCTAAAGGAGATGAATTTTCCTGTGGTGCAAGTGTGTGTTTATATACATACAGCTCTTAACTTCTAAATACTTGAAAAATGTATATTTATAATTGAATTTATAATCTGGTGCCAACTAACTAGCAGGTGATTTTGGAGTTGTATTTGGAGTATAAATTCTAGGTCATGATCGTAATATCCGTGAATTTACTGCAGAGAGAATGAGGTTGAAGAAGTTAAGGAAGAAGGCCCCAAGGAAATGACCCTGGACGAGTGGAAAGCCATTCAGAGCAAGGATCGTGCAAAAGTTGAGTTCAACATCCGTAAACCAAACGAGGGGGCTGATGGACAATGGAAAAAAGGATTTGTTCTTCACAAGTCAAAGAGCGAGGAGGTAAAGTGACTTTCCATGCTTGTGGTATCCAGTTTATAAAAGCTTTGTTATTGATAGGCATTTCTTGGAGTGGAAGCACCGTTGTGTGAGACACTGACCTGCAGCTGGAAGTTTATAAAGTGCAACAACATTCTTTTAGCTGAGCTGAAGTTCTGCAGTAGCACAAGTGGCCATTCTGACTGTGGTTGGTTTTGGGTGAGCCGTACCCTTAGGCTGGCATATAGTCTGGTGTAACCTAGAGATAAGCCTGGATTACTGGTGCACCTAGGCAGGTAGCTCTGTAAGAACTGCCTCTTGGTGAGGATTTTAGAGAAAGGTTGTCAGGTTTTCTTGTTAATAAAGGAAATTTAATGCTATTTAGCGTCTCTGTTAAGCAATACACAAAGTTATGGTGCTTGCTAAACACAGTGTAAGATTGAGGGAAGACTGGTTATGCCTCAGAGACCTTAATACCTCAGCTGTGTACCTTAAATTTCTAACATGGGTGTCTTCTCATCTTGTGATATACAGACAAGCTTTTGGGAAACCAGTTGAAATACATTTGTATGCTTCAGTGATACTCAACATAGTTCCTATAGAATTGTTTTAAAATCGAAGTTTTCTCAAGCATACTCATTTCAGACATTGCAAAATGTTAATTATTCTGTTCCAAGAGTGGCAAGGAGAGATGTACAAAGGGAGGGAAGTGCTGAGAGCTCTGTTTTGTAATGCAGGGCTGCCTTGATCTTTGGTTTTAATCTTTGCTTTTAACACTCTGTAATATGTTAAGTAGCTCACTTAAGAGATTGGTGGGTGCAACTTTGTATACAGACGGTTATGGCTTCTTTGAAGTAACTAGATAATATGTAATATTCTGCTTGGTCTCCTAATACTTATTCTTGCCTTTTCACACCTTGCCGGTTCTTATCCTGTGAGCTGGGTCATAATACTGATGGGGAGGTGTTTTCCAGTTTTCCAATGAAAACTCAATTTCTGTTCTCATTGAACTCATTCTGAGTTTGACTTGGTCACAGTCAGGCTATTTTCTTGCTGTGTGAGGTAGTTCAGTTCTTTAAATGATTGCATGTCTGTTTTCCTTAAGCTGTTTAATGAAGTGTTCATTAAATGCTGTTTTCTCTGGCACGTGCAGAAAAGGGAATTTGAATTGCACTTAATGTTGCTGGGTACTAAGAATTTATGTACTTTACTGAAATTTACTAAGCCTGTAGTCCTTCAAGTTCCCTCAATCTTTCTGAATCAGGTTTATTTGACATTTCATCAGCTGAGGACAGTCTTTTTTAACACATGAGTATGTATGATAGTATAAGATGATGGTACTCACGAGCGATTTAGAGACTAGAAAGATCCATACTGTATTTTCCATTTGAAAACTGAATCAGTGCTTAATGAAAAAAAAACCAAGGAAAAAACCCCCAAAGAACAGACAAATCCAAACCAAACCAATTAGAATAATCAATTTACTTCTGTGGAAGAACCGACATGATTAGTAGATTGTTCTGTTTGAGAGGTTAACTTTTCTTCAGATAAATAAGTTGGATATTTTTAGCACTGTCACATAAGAAGTTAACAGCCTCTTGCTTTGTAAGCATGAAAGTGAGGTATTAACAAATCTGCCTTTAAATTTAGATGCTTTTAGCCTGCTTTATTGTCTGTCCAGCAGATGTGTCTCCCCATCTCACTTATCCATTGTTCCCTGATCCCATGGGAAACAGTGTGGGGATTTTCTCCCTGGATTATTGAAGAATAGCTCTGTAATAGCTTTCTGTTAGGAAAGCCTTTGCTGCAGCTCGTTTGTGAAGGTGGAATATTCAGAAAACGTACCAGTCACCTGCTGTTTCCTCTCTTTGTCCTCTTGGACTTACTTATGAGTCACAAAATTTAGGTTGCTCGAAGGTTTCTGTGATTCTTATTTGTAAGAAGGGAGATGATGTGTGGAAGTGATTTGGTTTATAGGTAAATTGTGGGTTTCAGCCCCAAATCTTCTGTATTCTTATGACTGAAAACCACCATGTGTCCCAGTAGATTTTCTCAGAAATTTGGATTGACGTATTGTGATGAGCTCCCTCATTCCTATAGTTGAGAACTACTGGAAAATTGCCATAGGAGTCTGGGGGAAAAGGGAGCCTGAGGATCTAGTACTTTTCATCTGCCTTAGTCTTGGGAAAGAGCTCTCCTCCTCATGCTCCTCACTGAGGGGTGAAATGCTTGACCATGTCTGAGGTCTTTCCTCTTTTTCGTTTTTTCTCTGCAGTTACTAGAAAGTGATACTTTGGGTAAAATGAATTCTCAATACTGTCTCAGATTCTTGCTGGTTTAATCTGAATAACATGGACATTGGCAGCCCTGGTCTGATGAGCGTCTTTCCAGGAGATTGGGTTATGCCATAAAAGAGAGATCCTCTTTTTAACTTCTCTGCAGCTGGTTTAGGGCTTGAGTCTTTAATTTCTACACAAAAAACAAACAAAAAACCAAAAAACCCAAACAAACACAAACCAGGAAGGAGTTACATTGTGGACAGATCTTAAAATTTATTCCAAAAGTTGAAGGCTGGACTTCTGGAAAGACTGATACACTAATCAGTTGTTGCTCTCTGAACCTGCTGTGCCTCTTTATGTGCCTTCAAAGCTTCTCACTAATCCAATCACTTCCTTAGAGGAGGTTGCAGTGGGAGACTGAGAAATACATTTTGTAAAAGAATAGTTCATCTTCTCAAAACCTGGAGGAACGACTCTTGGCTGGAGGCTCTGCAGGAAGCTTTTCCATTAACAGTGATTTTAACATCCCGCTCTTCCCTGCCCATCTCCCCATGGTGCTGGAGACCAGCCTGCATGTGTGGTCTGTGCCAGAGCTCCCAGTAGCTCCTGGTGAACCTTCCTGGTGTCCATCTGAGCTTTCTCTTGTTTCCACCGCTGTGGCACATCCATCCTCTAAATCTCTTTGGGTGCTTGCACAGCTTCATCTCATCCCTTTGCTGCTTTGTGTGCTCAGTGACATCTGTACCCAGCGAGTTCATGTGACCTGATTACCTGTTGTTTCTGTATGTAGTTGAGTCTCATTTCTTCCTTTTGTTTTCTCCCTTTGTTCTTTTGTCACTTTGGCGTGGACACGCAACTTTCATCAGACAAAGGCGATGACAGAAATGCAGGGGAGTCTGCTGGATTCAAATGAGGTACTGATCCTTTCTATCTAACTGGGGATACCTGTGTGTTAACATGAGCCCCTCCAGAAGGGAAAGTTTGCGCAGTAAAAACTCACCAAAATAGAGAACACAAGTGGATTCACTATGGAGCTCTTCTGTCCGTGCCTGTTGTCTCACTGTGCACAGCACCCTTCATGATTAGTCCCCTTGCTCCTCGTTCACCCAGTTTCAAACCTGACCAGAAATGCTTCTGTCATGAGTCTTTATTTTTTTGTTGCTGGTGTTTTTACATCTCTCACTGCCTGCTTTGGCCCTCTTGGTAATTTGTTCTTAATTTTTGTCAGCCTTCCCCTAGGCCCTTAAGTGCAGCACTGGTTATGAGATCAGAGCACTATTGAGAGTTGCCACTACATAGAAATTATGTTTCCAGATATTATTCAGGATAAGCAATTTGTTCAGTATGTCTGTCTTTTGTCACCTAAGTGATTGAAGAGCCCGAGGAGAATGTACCAAGTCTTTTATTGGTGTTTTAAATAAGCTTTAGTTACTCTGGATAGAGAAATAGGTTATGTGTGGAATTTGCTTTTTGTTGGTTCAGTGGTTAAAGTTGTGAAAATAGAGTGGTTTTTGGTAAACTGTAGTGATTTGTTTTTAAACAAAAACAGCCTAGGGAAGAAAATCACAGAATTACTGTAGAAATCCATTGACATTATTGCTCAGAAAAGAGAATGTCACATGGCTACCAGTAGATGAAAATAAAATGTCAGTACTCTGCAGTGATTAAAACTGTAGATAAAAAATGAAGTAGTAAGAAAGGAATAAAAAACATAACTGAGGTATTTTGTACTGTTTTACAAAGCACTGATGTACTTTGGTTTGAGTAGTGCCTTGTCAGGCTGAGGTGTGGAATGACTTTTCTCTGGGAAATAACTGCTCAAGCAAACTTCCTGAGGCTGGCAGAGATCTCTGAGGGAAGGGTGTACAATGAAACCTATAAAATCAGGAGTGGAGTGGGGACTAGTTGTTATGTAGAATCCATCCCAGTGGAATGTATTGAAAATAAAGCAGCATAGAGGGTATTTCTCATTGTGCCTAATTAAGTTGGAGAGAGACTGTTTGCAATGGCCTGCAGGGACAGGACAAGGGGAGAATGGCTTCCTCCTGCCAGAGGGCAGGCTTAGGTGGGATACTGGGGAGAAATTCTTCCCTGTGAGGGTGATGAGACCCTGGCACAGGTTGCCCAGAGAAGCTGTGGCTGCCCCATCTGTGGAAATGTCCAAGACCAGGTTGGATGGGGCTTGGAGCAACCTGGTCTAGTGGAAGGTGTCCCTGCCCATGGCAGGGGGTGGAATGGGATGAGCTTTAAGATCTCTCCCAATCCAGGCCATTCTGTGATGATTCCATGAAATGGTGGTGCTGTGCACTGTAGGATATTGGGGGGGCAAATGTACAACTGGGCAGGAAGAGGGATTGTGAGAGTGGGGATGGAGAAGGGTCGTTAAGGCTCTGTCCATAGAGGTGCTTGTGACTGACCTGTGGAATCCCTGACAGCGGCTTTGACTCCAGACTGCTCCATCCCTTGGCAGCCTTGTGAAGGCTCCACAAATGGTAATGAAAGTGTACAGAGCTTAATTGCACAATGTGTTGCCTTTGAAAGTCATAATGTTGTGTAACTACACCAGAGAACTAAATTGGAGTTGGGAGACCTGAGCTTGCACATGGCACTTGTGTAGGGAAACAAAGTAAGTGGTAATTGCTGTGCCAGGAGTTGGGGGCTTAGAGGGCAAGAAAGCATTGTATGTTGTCATGTTACCAAAACATGATTGTTGGGCCTTGTGATAGGCAGAGTTTTAGATTCTGTGTATCGTCCTAAGTGCCAAAAACTGACTTGCACATGGAAAAATGTTTTATACAAAAAAAGAAAAAATAATTGCTTTTTAAAACACTGATTGAGTTCAGTGTGCAATTGAAGTACTCAAACATGCTGAATAATCACATTGATGGGATTTGATGTCTCTCTTGGGACAACCACTTGTTCCCTGATGCTCAGGTTTCCCCCTGAATGCACTGGGAACAAACCAGTCAGAGAATATCATGGCAAAGGTGCCGAGAGCCATATTTTCCAGTATCATTGGTGAGAGTCGTTCTCTCTGTTTTATCTCCTCTAGTTATGTGTGTTTGAGCTCTTAATGCCTCATTTGCTGTTACAATGAATGCAAAGCAATGAGGAATTCCCAGCAACTCCCTGGTTTTAAATATTTATACTAGGACTAACAAAGTGTAAATCCTCATGGAGCAAAATAAGGATGAGTGACCAAGTATTGAAAAAGAGTGGAATGAATTGATAGAACCAGAACATTCTTCAGGATACAAAGTGAGAATTGCTAGAACATGAGGTTGTGTAGTGGCTTGGTCATAGTCAGTTTGGTCTTGGATAAACCTAAACATGTTCTTCTGATGGAATTCCAAGAGGAATTTCTTCCTGAAAAGGTTGGTCAGATGCTGGAAGGGGCTGCCCAGGGAGCTGGTGGAGTCCCCATCCCTGGAGATGTCCAAGGAAGGACTGGGCGTGGCACTCAGTGCTCTGGGCTGGGTGATAAGGTGGGGATCAGGCACAGGTTGGACTCGGTGGGCTGGGAGAGCTTTTCCAACCTCAGTGTTCTGGGTACTCCTGAAGTACCTTGGAAGTGCAAAACACCTTTGCTCAAGTGCTTGTTTGCTTCCCTGTGTGGAGTTTCATGGTCTGCACAAGTGGTATGACTTGATTTCTCATGAGAAATTCCAAGTTTCTTGGATCGCTCGGAGAAGCGGATGATCAGTTTTCCAGTGGGATTGGAGGTGAGCACGGGCTGTGGTGGCACGAGCGCAGCTACAGGTGCAGAAAAGGTGGTGATTTTTGGTGATTTTTCTTGCTCATGGAGAAACACTCGTTCCAGGCTCATGCTGAGGACTCTGTAATGGATCATCACTTCCGCAAGCCCGCGAATGACATCACATCCCAGCTGGAGATCAACTTTGGAGACCTGGGCCGCCCCGGCCGCGGTGGCAGAGGGGGCCGGGGGGGCCGAGGGCGCGGAGGCAGGGCCAGCCGTGGAGGCAGGACTGACAAGGTGAGAGCTGCAGCTTCACCCACACGGGGGGTGAGTTCCTCTTGTTGGGATTTTCCTACAGGTAGTTTTAGGACTTTTCCTTATTCCTGGGGGAGATGCCCCTGACAGAAAACAGCACATTTCTAAACCAGCTAAAGTGTCTTTTCTTACAAGCTTACTTTAAACAAGGTTATTGAATGTTTGAGCGGAGTTGTCATTAAACACAAAAAAAGGAGGGCTGGGAGTAGGCTGAATTAAAAAAAGCACCTGTCTTTGTGTTTGAACCTGAAAAACGACTTTCCAGGATGGACAGACCTGAATGTACCATGAGCTGCTTCAGTTTGTGCCAGAGCAGAACCCCACGTGCTGGAGTGGTTATTTTCAGACACAGTCAGGACACTTTCTGTGCATTGTGACCTGTTGGGGGTGACAGACTGGTTTTACAGCTGCATGTCATATCTTGAATTTGAGGAATTTAGATTTTTTCATGGGGAAATAGGACTCACTGTTTTTTCTCTAACCTTCAGTAATATTTTTCCTTCTCTGGTGCTAAAGCACTGGGGAAATACCCTGGAAAAGTACTGACTGGGGTTTGGGAAAGAAATATATGAAGTTGAGGTACTGTAGTGTAACTACAGAGAAGATTTGATTTAATATGGATCACTTATTTGGCTCAAAGGCATCTAATCAAATTGTTACTAATTAGAAAATGAGCTCAGTCTGTGTGCTGTGGCTTCACACAGATCAGACTTGCTCATTTTTGTCTCTTACAGGAGACGCAAATTTTTTCTCTGTAAGTTTTAGGCTTATTAGTTGGGAAACTCCTTCATGATACCAATATAAGAGCATTTTAAAGAATTTAAATTAAACAGCGGTGGTTTGCTCTGAGTTGTTTCACTAATATTCTTAAAGAATGCTGACATTAAGTAGTTCAAAGCTTTTCTGCACCTGATTTTATGTTGCCTTTGTTTCCTTCCAGTTGGTTAAGGAGTTTGACGTGATCCACACGCCCAACCAGGTTGGTGATCTCTGCACGTGTGTTCCCTCTGGTCAAGGACCAAAACCCCTCATTTTTATTGGCTGGCTTTCTGTTGTGTGCTGAGCCACAGAAGATGCTGAGGCTGTAGCTTAAAACCCTGCTGTTACTTTTTAGTTCTGGTTTGTGGCCCACAGAGTCTTAGCTAGGCAAGACAGAATCTTAGTCTTGTCTATAGGTGTTGATACACTTTTATTGAAATGGTTTAAATGTATTCCTTGATAAATTAATACCATGACAGGAAATTCCACTATATTGGTTCTTCCTACTCTACTCATCCATATCCCTCATGGACAAAATGAAGAGTGTCCTGAAATACTTAATTTCTGCATTTCACTGCAGCACTGGCTTTTACATGTGGTTCAGAGCCTTTTAAAAAACTCTTTTGGGGCGTACTCAGGACATTCTTGGCTAACGTACGAATGTTTAGGGCTAGGTTGGCACAAAAATTCTTTCTATCATGTAGTTTGTGACTTGGGAAGAATTAAAAGCAGGAACCTTAATTTGTGCCACAAACAGGCCTTTTCTGTAACACTTCAGTCATGTCCCTCAGGAAGGATTGATGGCTCTGTGCCAGTAAAATGACATGAGCTCACAGATAAGGATCTGCTCATGGCAGGGGGTTGGAAGTAGATGGTCTTTAAGGTCCCTTCCAACCCAAACCATTCCAAGATTCTATGATGGAAGAAGAGTTGCACTTGGAACCTTGTGCAATAATGATGTGCAAGCACAGTCTGATTGCCTACAATTCCTCTTCAGATAGTTTTGATTCCAGAAGAAGTATAAGGACTATTTCTGGTCCTTGAAATAGATTTAAAAAATTGCTTTTGTACTACATTATCCAGCCCCAGACTTCTCACTCTGCCGTGCACCTCTAAACCAAGGTAATAACTCTGACATTTCTCTTTCAGTCAAGTGCTTCTGCTCCTGACGTAGATGACCCAGAGGCTTTCCCAGCTCTGTCCTAAACTGGATGTCATAAGCCAACCCTGCCCTGGTCGGGCTCTCCTCTCCGAGGCTTGCATGCTTAAGGATCCTAAAACAACTAAGAAACTTAAAAAAAACAAAACAAAACAAAAAAAAGAGACTGTCATTCATACCATTCACACCTAAAGACTGAATTTTATCTGTTTTGAAAATGAACTTCTCTCGCTACACAGAAGCAACAATATGGTAGTCAGTTTTGTATTTAGAAATGTAATGGTAGCAGGGATGTTTTCATAATTTTTTCAGAGATTATGCATTCTTCATGGATACTTTTTTGTATTGCTGCTTGAAAATATGCGTTTCCAAACTTGAAATATAGGTGTGAACAGTGTGTACCAGTTAAAAGCTTTCCCTTCATTTGTGTTCATTTTTTTAATTCAGGATTTTAGACTTTTTTCTCCCAACTCCAAACTGGGTTTTAAGTATTGCACACTATTTCCATTTCCTTAATTTCTGTTCAGCAGATTTTTCTCAGCCCGTGGTCTTTTGGAATATGTGGAATACGAATTTGGCAGACTGTTAGTGCTGTATGGAATGAACTCCTGGAGTACTTTAGTTTTAATGCTTAATTTCAAACATGGAAAACCAGTAATTTTTCATCTCTGTTAGGTAGTTTGTTTACACAAAACCTTTATACAAAATTGATACCAGATACTTGAAATCAAGATCGAAAGCACATGGGTTTGTAGTTCAATAACTGTATTGATCCAGAATGATGTGTGGGTAATTGGTCTGAAAACCAGGTTTTTAAAATTAATGTATCCCACCTTCACTCACCCTTCTGACCTTTATTCCCTCCTCCTTCCTTCAACAGAACAAGATGCTTTGTTGGCAAAAAAAAAAAAAAAAAAAAGAAGAGTTTTTAAATTACCTTGGCTTTTGTTTGAGAGGATACCCTGAGATTGGGGTAATTCCTGTTGTGGGAGCTGGGATAGCCTGAGATGGGGGTAGTTCCTGTCATTGGAGATGGGAGGTGGGGGGAAGGCAGTAGCTGTGGCTCTGTAGTCCACATGGACTCAGGTGGGATGTGGGATTGAGCGGCACTGTCTGGCACACAGGTACATCAGTACCTGCTGTACTCCCAGCACTGCTCCCAGGTCTTCTGGGGAAGGAACCCCAGGCCTTTGCTGGCTCTGGCAGGAGGGATTTTTGGCTCATCGTCTCCCAGCACTTCAGCTGTCCATCAGAATTTAGCCCTGGCTTTGTGCAGTGCTCAAGATCTGTTTGGCAGATCACCGTGAATGTTTTCCTGAGAGTGATTGTAAGAAACTCCTTCTCCCCCTCTGAAAGTTCACCATAGGTTTGCTTTCATCCCTGTGAGCAGGAACATCACCACACACAAAAGGAGTTGAACAAATGACTAAGAAAGAGGATTTCTTAGGGTTTTTATCTGCAGCATTTGTTAGGAGATCAGGAGCAGATTTCCCACTTTATTTCATGTTTTACTCTTTGGACAGCTTAGAACATATTTGTAGTTTCTTAACTAGGTAGATAGAAAACTAAAGGTAACACCCTATTTTTTTAAAAACTGTACAGGACTGGCAAGAAGTGTTGGAGACCTTTGAATATGAAATCCCAACCTCCTCAGTTGTGATGTTAGTGGCTGCCTTGCTTTTCCTGAGCAATTTTCTACAAGCGCTTGTGTTGTGAACCGCTGTGGATAATCATTGATCTGGTTGTTCAGTGCACTCGCCTGTATTTAAAGCTCCAGGGTGTGAGGAGGAGGGTGGTAAAATCTCTTGGTTCAGCTCTCTTGACCTTGTACTCAGTGTGGGGCGGGTCCAACATGGAGTTGTTCCTCTTCCCCCTGCTGTTGTGGTTTGATGGGATGTGTTGCAGTTCCAGCACTGGGAACACCTTGGATAACACAACTAAACCTTTATGCAGAAACACTTAGAGCAAAGCTTTCTCTGGAGTATAGGCTTTCTTCCCCTTATCCAAACTGTGTGTTTGCCATTCCAGTTGCCATTCTGCTTTTATCCAGTGATTCTGGGCAGGGATTTAGGACCCTGCAAGCTGGATTTAGCCAGTGGCTTTCCCTTCTCCTGCCATGTAGCACAGAACAGTCCCAAACAGCACCTCATGTGTGGTTTTCAAGACAGCTTGTACTTACACATGGTCCTTCTGCTGTTCTGACAGATGTAAATTTGCCTCTTTCAGTCCATTTGTGTCAAGAACTAAAACTGTGAACATTTATCTTTAATATTGGTGAGTGTTAACTGAAATAAAAGTTTATTTTCATGCTCTTTTAAAAAAATGTCCTGAAAACACATGGAAATGAAACCACTTAGGTTAATAGTGTCTCATCTAGGTTCTGCCTCAAGAGGTCCAGCCTGCCTGTGGTGGTGCCCAGGCATTCCCATTCCCAGGATGGACTTTGCCTTGGGAAAACCCAAGTAGCTTATGAGTAAGGAGCTTGCTCTTAGGAACATTTTCTGTCCTCTTCCTGCTTCTGCTGTCACACCAGATCTAGAGGACTAGATCTTTTAAAATCTGATCCATTGGAAAAGATGGTCAAGCGGAAAAAGTCAGAAACACACGGTGCAAATTGGCTTTGGAATGTAACAATGGCTAGGTTGGAGCATGAAAGTTCATCTTGCAGTACTGCCAGTGCATGGCTGTGGTGCTGGGAGGGAACAAGAGTGATGAACCAATGCAAGGATTAGCAGGGTGTGGGAAAGAACATGGAATGTTCCTGGAATGTCAGAAATTGGTGGGAACACATGGTGTTTGCAACCGGAGGAGCTCAGACCACCCTGACCTGTAACAACTCTGCCCACGGTGATGGGTTTGTGTAGCCACACCTCTGGTTTAATGAAGGCAAGAATTGGACCTAAAGCTGCCACTACCCAGCATGTGCCAACCTGCTTCTTTCCTAAAATCATTCCAAGGACCACACTGCCTTCCCTTTGTACTCCTGGGCTGCTCTGCCATCCCTAGGGACCAGGCTCAGGGGGTTTGAGCAGGGCTGGGTGTCTCAGGCAGGGTCCATGAGGTGGGTGCTGCCCTGGGATGGGCGACCTGACTGGGGGAAAATGGTTCCTTTGCCCTTACTGGGAGACTCAGGTCCTTTCCTGGAACACTTCCAGGTTGGAGTTAAAAAAGTCTGATCATTGTCCTACTAATGATTCTTGACTTAACACTTGATTTAAAGTGCTCTGTGTGGAAGTTTTATCTGGAGATGTGCAGAATGAGGGCTCCAGTGTTCTGTTTATATGTTGAAGTAGAAGATCGACACGCAGAAGTGGATGAATGACAAAATAATGCTTTTTTAAAAAAAACACTTTTTTGGCTTCTGATTTGCCTTTCTGGGTGTCTAATTTGGTTGTACTTGAGGTACAACCGACTTGAGGTACTGATTTGTGATATGATGCCCAGCCAGTCCTCTTGGCAGGGAGGTTGCCAGGTGAGGTGTGGAGAGCAGGAAACTGGTGTCACAGTCCAGATGGAGCTGAGTTATCAGCATAACCCCGGGCTGTTTATGTCTCCAGGGCCAGTGTGTGGGTATTGACAGGCATGAGCCTGTTCTGCAGTGCCTTTGAACATGGGAGCACTGGGGCTTTCTGTAGAAGGTAACCCAGCCACAACTGGAATGAAAACAGGGAACAGACTGAGAAGGATCCCCCAAACCTGGCCCTGGGGATTTGCTTGTCTCTTCACACACGAGACAGTGTGGAGAGCCCCAGCCTTGCTGTATCAACCTCGTGGTGCAGGTGCATCTCTGTCACAGCTCTGCCAGGAGACCTTTGCTGTTCCTGCCAGGTGGGATAATGGCTGTCCATGGAGGTGTTCTGGGATGGTGGTGTCACAGAAGGGTTTCGTCAGCAGTTTTGCCACTGCTTGTGTAGCTGTCAGTGGATGGAGAGTGGCCACCTGAGCCTGGGGAGGAAGAGGAGGGTGCTCCAGGTAAGTTCAGACCTGGACTACATCTGTAGCAGCAATGTTTTGGCTTTATTTTTGTTTTTAAAGACACCTTGTTCTGTGTAAAGCTGCAGCATAGCCCTGGAGCTTGACCAGAGAAAACAACAGGAAACCAATTTCAGATTTCCAACATTTTATTTATATACACACACATCTCATAAACAAAGTCATTAAATGTGTAACACACTTCAAACCTGTAATTAGAATACTTCAATAAATGATTATAATTCCTCTTGACAGTCCATTTGGCTGAGTACACGTGCTGCCTGCTGCTTTTGTTTCTGGGGAGGAATTCTCCTTTTCTGAACTGAGCCAGGAAGTCCCAGCCGTGTCCCTCAGTGCCCCCATGGGACTGGTGTCACTGGGAGCTCGGATTTTGTGCCAGCGAAGGAGCAAGGGCTGCAGCCCACGTCCTGCTCGGCTGGATGCTGAGCTCTTTCATCCCTCTGTCTTGTAGTCCACTTGCTCTTTCTGGGTTGAAATGATGTTAAGCACAGCTCTGATTCCTGGGGTGGACCCAGCCAGGCTGGGCCATTCGTGACCAGGCAGTGGGACAGGGCACAAGGCAACCCGAGTAATTAATGATCCTCTCCCCAAGCCAGCTCTGCCATCCCAAGCTGTGCCTGAGTGCTGTGGGTGAAGAGACGCCACGTTGAACAGCGAGGTGTGACTTGGAAAGGTTTGTGGGTCGGGGTTTGTGTCACCTACAGGTGTCATGTGCAAGTGACTGGTCTGTCTGTCCACACTGAAATGCTTCATAAAGTGCAAAACACCAGGCCAGGCTCCCATCACCCACCCCCCACCTACCTTGTGAAGGAGCTACAGTTGAGCTTCACTCTGTCCAAAGTGAGATTCCCTTCACAGCAGAGGGTGGGTCCCAAAAAGGTGGTTGGGAAGATGGACAGCAGGTGGCACTCGAGCTCGGGGTGGTCCATGGGAGTGTCTGCGGGCAGGGGCAGGTCTGTGGGGCTGGGGCTGGTGATGTACTCGGGCAGGTCCATGGGGTGGTCCCTGGTGGTGTCTGGAGGTGGGGGCAGGTCAGTGGGGCCGGGGTTGGTGATGTACTCGGGCACAGGCTGCAGGTGCTCCATCGCTTCCACCACCAGCCTCTGGTACAGCTCAGGGAGCTGCTGCTCCTCCCCCGGCTCCGAACTTGAGCTCTCCTGTGTCCAGTCCCCATGCCTCCTGCTGCCAGCGCTGCCCACCAGCAGCTTGTCCCCAGGGTCCGGGGGATCAGGCTGCATGAAAGCTTCCTCCACGGGGGTTGGTTCAGGCTCTTCAAAGCTGATGGTGCTGGGCAGGAACAGGATAGAGGATGAGCTCAGCTCTGCCTGTGGAGGGACATGGAATTAATTCTGTGGTGAATATCCTGAGACATCCCTCCCCACAGCAGCTCATCCTGCTAAAACCAAAGATCTCTGCATTCTTCTTGAATCTAATTTGCTCAGCACTTCCTCTGGTCTAGCACGAGCATGGGGATTATCCACTGCCAGAGATTGCTGGATTTGCTGCTTGAGGAGATTACTGGCTTGCATGGCTCCAGTCGCTGTTTTTTTTTGAAGGTCGTGGGATTAGAATGCAAACCCCCTGTAATTTACCTTGGTAACCATGAAGCTTTTGGCCCACGTGGCGTTAGCTGGGTCGGGAATGGCTTTGTTCTGCCACTGTGGCAGGAGCACAGAGAGGAGCGAGTGGAACCTGC